TAAGTAAGGCATTAACATATTTTCTTCTGTTTTATGATTCTTATATAATTGTACCCATGTTTTTGAATATCAAAAGAATGGTTAATGGTTAATGGTTAAAAGCAAGATAAATGTGCTAGACATCTAAGGTCATGTAGCACTATAGTTAATGTTAGTGAAGGGGGTTGAGTTACTGATTAGTTGTCTAAGCTGGGCAAAGGAATTGGTGAGTGAAAGGATTAAGATCAGGTGTGGTAAGGTGTTAGATTAGGTGAAGGATATGTATGCGTTTGAGGAAAGAGAACAGGTTGTTAAAGCAGAAAGTGTGGGATTCTGTAAGGATGTCCGATAAGTTGGGAGGTCGGTGAAGGGAGGATAGGTGGGGGAAAGCAGAGGTACGGGTTGCTTCAAAACGTGGACACGATAATAGGATGTGTGGGATTTAAAGGGGAACATTACATAAGGAACATAGGGGTGGATCAGATTGTGACATCAGATAGGAGTGTGTTAGACTGGTGTGGCCAATGCGTAAGCGGGTGAGAGCGGTCTCCCAACGTCTGTTCCGATGAAATGGAGCTGACCAGGAGGAGATTGATAGTTTTACAGAATGTAATTTATTAGTGCGGAGACTTGACCAAAAAGATTGCCATCGATTATACAAGAAGGTCTTAAAGTGTGGGTAATAATCCGTGGCTGGGATACGTGAGAAGCGTGGTTGGTATGATGTGGACATAGCGGCGTGGCGTGCCAGAGTATCTGCCTGTTCATTGCCGGGGATTCCAACATGGCTGGGCACCCAGCAAAATTTGATTGTTTTATGGCGTGTGGACAGGTAGAACAACCAGTTCTGGATGTTACAAACAAGGGGGTTGGTGGTGTGTATTGACTTTATGAGAGTTAATGAGTTACGGGAGTCAGTAAAAATTATAAAAGAGGAAGAGGAGAGTGAGTATATGTGTTTTAGGGCAAAAAGGAGTGCATACAGTTCTGTAGTAAGGACACTGGATTCAGGAGGAGGGGAGTATTTGAAAGTACGAGTTGGGAAGATTACTGCAAAACCAGTACCGGAGGTGGATTTGGAGCCATCAGTATATATGTGAATACTAGAGGAATGAGTGGAGACATGGTCAAGGAAATGGGTGAGAAGGACAGCAGGAGGAATATTTGATTTTGGTGGGTCGGGGAAAACAGAAGAGCAAATATGGGGGTGAGGTATAAGTCATGGAGGGACGGAATGAACAGAGAACGGGAGAGGTTGGAGATGGGGGAAAGGGGAATGGGAGAAGAGGGTATCCATGCGAGTGGAGAAAGGAGTAGGTAAACGTGGAGATGAAGCTAAGGTAGGAAGTAGGGATTGTGGAATAGTTAGTTTAGTGAGGGAAAGTTGGTGGAATCGAACATAACATCGGAGAGAGAGAAGGGCACGACGTCGAGATAGAGATGGTATGCCTGATTCAGTGTACAGGCTCTCAACTGGAGAGGAGCGAAAGGCACCTAGTGCTAAGCGAAGACCACAGTGATGGATTGTATCAAGAGGGGCAAGGAGAGAAGTTGAGGCAGAGGAGTAGATATGGCATCCATAATCAAGAGTGGAGAGGATCAAAGTAACATGAAGATGAAGAAGAGTTTTGCGATCTGAGCCCCATGATATATGGGAGAGAGTTTTTAAAATTCGAAGGCGGCGGAGAGCTTTTCCTTTAATGTGTAGAATATGGTCTCGCCAGGTCAGTTTGGAGTCAAAAATGACGCCTAGGAATTTGTCAGAGGAACGGCATTGGAGTGGAGTGCCATATAAGAAGAGTGGGGGTAGGGGACCTATACGTGAGCGAGAGAAAAGGATGGAGAAAGATTTAGAGGTAGAAAAGCGGAAGCCATGGTTTGTGGCCCAGGAAGATACTGATGAGATTGCAGATTGAAGAAATTGGTAGAGATTTGGTATGGATATGCCAGAGGTATAGATGGTTAAATCATCAACATACAGTGATGACCGGGCTCCTGGTGGTAAAACTGAGACAATATCATTAACAGCAAGAAGGAATAAAGTGGTACTGAGCACACTGCCTTGTGGGACACCTTCGATTTGAGGAAAGAAAGATGATGTGGCATTAGCAATTTTGACCTGAAAAGTGCATTGGGAGAGGAAAGACTTCATGAAGACACCCATGTTTCCACATATGCCTAGAGAGGACAATTGTTGGAGAATATGGTACCGCCATGTCGTATCATATGCTTTTTCTAGATAAAAAAATATAGCTAGTACGGATTCATGGCGTGCAAATGCGGATGCAATATATGTCTCAAAATGAGCAAGGGGGTCAGCTGTGCTTCTGGCACGGCGAAAACCGAATTGGGAAGGAGAGAGAAGATTGTGAGATTCAAGATACCACCTTAAGCGGAAGTTCACCATTCGCTCTAATGGTTTGCACAAGCAGCTAGTTAGTGCGATGGGGCGATAGTCTTGAGGGAGGGTACCCGATTTATTGGGTTTCAGGAAGGGAAGGATAAGAGCTTCTCGCCAATTAGAAGGAAAATTTCCTGATGTCCATATGTGGTTGTAAATTTTTAATAGGAAGGATAAGGAGGAAGATGGGAGTTGCCGGAGCATACGGTAGTGAATACCGTCAGGGCCTTCATGAGTGTTGCGGCACGATTGTAGGGCAGCAATGAGTTCAGAGGAAGAAAATGGAGCATTATAGGACTCAGCGGAGGATGGGGTAAAGGTAATGGGGGTACGTTCTCTGGTGGTCTTGATAGAAGAGAAGTGTGGAGAAAAGTGAGAACCACTACTGACCTGGCTGAAATAATCACCCAGTTCATTAGCGACTTGGAGAGGATTAGAAATGAGGTTATCTCGAATATGGAGGACGGGGGCAGGATGGGGGGGATGTTTGCCTGATAGCCAGACAGGAAGCACGTCGACGTGCTTCCTGTCTGGCTTCACACAGTGCGAGTCCAAGTTTGAATCTGAGAGTTGCTACCTCAGACTCAAATTTGTAGGTGGGACAGCCCTTATAAAATACATTATGGGGGCCGCCACAGTTGGCACATGTGCGCATCTGGCTGTGGAACGGCAATGTTTAGCTGGGTGTCCGAGACGCCAACAATTTTGGCACTGACGTGGAGGAGGTTGGTATGGACGGACAGGGAGGGATTCTCCACCTATGTAAACGTTAAAGGGAAGGTCATGTCTACGGAAGGTAATTTTGGCAATGTTAGTGGGTTTCTTTCGATGACCTCTGGGGGGAATGGAGTAGCATTGTACCGATGTTGCATCATAGTCAGTGAGACAGGCGAGTAGGTCTTCTCCACAATCTGACCAATCTTTGTCATAGATCGGGCAATTTGCTGGGGAGATTGAAACAGTTCCGGTGCAAGTATTGAGGGTTGGATGGGGTTCTGCAAGGATAGGGTTACCATATAGGTCAGTTTTGTTAATGCTATAGCTTGGGATTTAGAGGTTACTGTGATGAGATGGAGTGGTCGGGTCGGCTACGGAAAGAGACTTTACCTACTTGTTTTTGGAGACATTGTTGGAAGAGAAGGGTGTTGTCAGAGTAGGGAGCTGTGGGAGGGATCACGAAAAATCGGTCCCATTTGGCTGGGCTAAATAAAGTATTCAAGATTGTTGTAGAGATAGGGGTAGTAGAAGGGCGGGGGTGTGACGAAGAGGGAGTAGCATTGAGGGAGGTAGTGTTATGGAGAGGAGGGCAATAAGGCTGTAAGGTATTAATAAGGGAGGATGGGGTAGTTGATGTTGGAGGTTGTGGGGGTTGAAGTTGAGCATGTTGGGAGAGTGGAAATGTCTCTTGGGGGTTGGTTGTTGGCTACTGTACTAGCAGTATTGATGAGGGGGTAGTTGTTGCAGTGTTCGGAGCCGTGGTCAAAGGAGAGCCTGGGGTCAGGGAATCGGGGGGTTTGCATGGTTGGGGCTATTTGATAAAGTGGCAAGCCTCATTGCCCCTAATAGTGGTATTATGTTTTCATTATTGGCCATGGTAAGCCTGGATTATGTTGGGGATAAAAACAGTCCACCCCTCAGGGTCCCCTTGAGGGGTAAGGGCTAGATAACTAAATCAGGGGAATACCGTGCCCATGGCTCCCTCAGGCCATTCAGGACTGGCACAAAGTCAGCCTTTCAGCCTTTCAGCACAGCTCTCACACCTTAGGAGGTGGATAGTAGAAGGGTTTGGTGAAGGGACAGAAACGAAAAAGAAGGAAGGGGAAAAAAGACCATGCAAAATTAATTGAGTCATGGGCTGAGTCCCAAGGTTGGGGAGTTCCCCATCATTGGGTCCCAGTCTCCGCCTCCTAATCCCCCCACGACAACAACGGGAAAGGGATTGGGGGGGATATCAAAAGAAATATATTCAAAATAACCCCTTCTTTTCTCTCTAGTTCATAAAGAGCAACACCCCTTCCATTAAATTGGAGGAAATAAATAAAAAACAAACATTTCCCTTTCTTTCATTTTCATACTTGCTTATAAATAAGAATATATACTGTATATTAAAAAACAGAAAAAGAAATAAAAATGTAAATGCTAAATATTCTGTCTGTCAAACATGAAAAATAGCAAAGAACATACATTTATATTTCACAGTTTTCTCTAGTTTATTAAAAATAGAAACTATATGTGACACTGATAAAAAACAAGAAATATATGTAGAATAAGTCACAATCCAATTCAAAATAGCTGCCTTTGTGTCATTTTACATTAAACAATTAACACAATGTTACAAGTTAATCACACTGTCTACTGTTTTCTTTTTTTATTGAACAATACTATAAACAATACTAAAAGCAGTAAAAAAAGAAGAAGAAGAAGAAGAAGAAGAAGAAGAGAGTAAACAGTTGAGCTACAAAAGACTAATAATTGACTCCTTGGTGATTGAGAACTTGTGGAGCAGACAATCAATAAACAAAAAGTATACAGTGGAAATGGCAAGTATTCCTACCACCCCAGCAACAGTGGGTTAAAATCAGTTTCTAATAAGGGGGGAAAGGATATAATGAAACAGTCGTCCTTTGCAATTTTGTATTGCGTAATTGGTGTCATGGTGTCACTTTCAACATAACATGGATGGTAACACATATATGCTTACAAGTCTGTTAATATGCAATATTTTAAAATAGTTGCCAAGCCTTTACTTAGCATAAAGAATTCACTTAAAGAAGTAAAGAAGTATTGCCTAACTAGGAAGTATATAATTTATATCTGGTATTCTCACATCACTGAGCAAATCAAATATAAAATAATTATCCGTCCAGTGAGCACTTAGTCAGAACATAAAACCAAAAAGCATTTTTCATGTTTGGAGGGAGGCTAATACTGGCTAAAGACATTTATTTCACTGCCTTTGAAAAGTACCTTAAAAATAGGCTTATATACTAGTTCCCAATTAGGCACTGGTTGAGATATTTGGTTAATGCAGCTAAAAAGAAAAGAATAAAAAAAAAAATTAAAATGTATCTGAATACAGTTTCAAAAGAACCATGCACAGGACTTACAGTCTAATGAGTAAGATACAGATGACTTGTTTACAGAGATGAAATAAAACTATATAGAATTATCTATTTTGGTACACAAAGACCTGTATGATAGTGGTCAACATGGTTAAACTGTGTAAATTCAATTGTGCAACACATGTCCATTCATCACGCAATCTGCGATGATACTGATATCTATATCATTTATTCTATTGTATAAAAGTTTCATGTTACATAGATTAGCCATGTTGGAAAATATATGAGCTTTGTTTACATCACATAAATCCACTTAGTGCACCAAATCTTCATGTGAAATATATAATCATAACAATATCAATAATAATAATAATAATAATAATAATAATAATAAAACAGTAATATTAGAATTACATAATGTGAGTAAGAAAATACAAATGAAAATAAATCAATGTAGGCTATCTTATCACTAATAATTAGCTTTGAAGCACCAACATCTGTAATTAATAATAATAACAATAATAATTAATAACAGGCATAATAATGATAATAATAAGAATAAACAACAACAACAACAATAATAATAATAATAATTATAATAATAATTATAATAATAATAATAATAATAATAATAATAATAATAATAATAATAATAATAGCAATAACAATGTCAGATTTCAAAAAATATTTTGGTACTATCTTAATGTTTCAACAATTTCTAGGTATCTAAAAACAAGGAGATGCTTATGGTGGGTTGCTAACATTTAAAAATAATGACTAATGTTTATAAAGTATATTATAGAACAAAGAAAATGTTGAAACACTGGAAGATACTACTAATATTGTACCTTGAATCTTTAAAATGCAAAATACAGCAAGTCATACATTTTTTGTAAAATCATGCATTGTATTTTCATTATCTATTTTTTTTTTCAATTTGAGATTCCATGAAATACTGATAAATATACTTGTACACCCTTGAAAGCTTACTGAAGACTCATACATGGAGTTAGTGTCACTTTAGTTTCACAAATTAGAAACTCTACTGCTTCAGGTTTTAATGCCATTCCCAAATATTCTAATTTGTAAATCTTTTTATATGTTAATAATACACACATATTAATATTTTGTGAATGGTTCAGTAATGAGAACAATCCCCTATGCATGTAGTAACATTCTAGTAAATCTAATCCATAAATATTAAATCCTCTCCTTTTCTTCATTTTATAATGGTCA